GTGCAGGACCTTGCACTTGGCCTTGTTGAACTTCATGAGGTTCTCACAGGCCCACCCCTCCAGCCTGTCCAGGTCCCTCTGGATGGCATCCCTTCCCTCCAGCTTGCCCACCACACCACACAGTTGGTGTCACCAGCAAACGTGCTGAGGGTGCACTCGATCCCACTGCCCATGTTGCCAGCAAAGATGTCAAACAGCACTGGCCCCAGTACTGACCCCTGAGGAGCACCACTTGTCACTGGTCTCCACTGGGACAAAGGAGATGTTTGCAGTTCTCAGACTTTCCCTTCCAACAGGGTATGGCGTTCACGCCACGAGGAAGTAGCCGTACCTAGAGGCTGCAGAAACGGGGAGGGGTCAGGAGGTTCAGTTCTGGAACGAAATCTCAGCCAGGTGATGGAAGTATGACAAGTGAGAGCAGGCTTTTAAACTGGGAGTTGTTGGGCAGCGCTGGAACACGCATTATCGCTGCCATTTGTAGCAAGGCCATTAGCAAATCCATGCTTAATAGACCTTGCATTTCAGTGCAAGTTGGAGGTATATTTTGCAATTACTGTAAGGCTCATTACTCATCCTGTTGACATAGAAACTGGAAATGTTATGATTTCTGTTCTGGTTGTGTCTCACCTCAGCGTACCCTCACCACAGGAGTGGGGCACCTTGCCTGTACCTCCTGGCAACGGGTTGTAGGAGATGAGAGTAGCACTGGGCAGGAGCATGTCCAGGGCAGAGAATAGCTCTGTGAAAGGAGGATTTGCTCCTGTGGCCCTCAAAACTGCACTAGGAGACCTCCTTCTCTTTCTTCTTGCAGAAACATTAAATGCTAGAGTTTAAGGAGGAAATAAGGTTTTCTGTAAATTTCCACTTGGTACAAAACGAGCTGTTTATAAAAGACGTTTTCAAAGTGAGAGTCAGTCCTGAAGAGTTCAGATGCCGATCTCAAAATGCGAAGCTAAGTGAGTTTTAAAAATTCTCCAGATCTTTAAACTACTCTCTTCTCTTCTTATGGTTTTCTTCTTACTTGTAGAAAATCCGAATTATATCTTCAGAGCATATGGCGCTGGTTCTGATTAGGAAAAAAAAAAATAATTTTTGATAGCTTTAGAAAAAGAAATAAAATTCCGTTTCAACTGTAAAACATGGTGGCCCATGGAGTGTGGAATGCCTACTGGCTTCTTTGCTGATTCTGGCCAGCGGTCAGGAAATACCACTAAGGTAGTGTTGGCCAGCAGTACCGTAACGCTCCACAGGGTCAAGGCGACTGAGAGACATCACCTTCTTCCCACTTCAGCTGGCAGAGTTTGTACCCAACACGCATACGGTGCCTGGTGGAGCCCGTTGAAGGATGAGGACGGAGGTGAGAGGCACGGAGAGACAGACAGTGCTCTTCAGAGGAGGTCAGGGATGGCGATGCCAGCCTGCTGTCTCATGTCTGGTTCAGGACAGAGGAGAACTGCATTTTCTCTGAATTATGTGCATTGCCCTTGTTTATCTGAAAGATACGTTCTTCTTGTTTCTGGATTTGGCAGAAAGTGCAGCGAGGTGCGTGTAGGCCACCCGTGGCTCATGTCTTTACCATTCCTCCCAGCTTGTGCCAGTGTCTCTCTCCCTCAGATCCTTGACCTTGCAGGTGGGCACGAGCTTGCTCCAGCCTCTCGGGTCCAAGCAGCTGTGTGTGCCTTTGTAAGACAGTCCCAGCTACAAGAACATACAGGCTCTCAGAGTGGGTCATTTGCAACCACAGGCTAGGAGTACCTGGTGGGCAGTGTGGTGCTCAGCTCCCTCCTCATCCCATCCGAGGTTACGCAGGTTGCCAGCGATGCCGGATAAATGTAGGCGATTTGTTCCCAGGCAGGTCGCTTCATGGTGTGTTTCACTTGTTCACCGTGCTCTCACAGGTCAGCTATGCCTCATCCAGTCGCCTCCTGAGCAATAAGAACCAGTTCAAGTCCTTCCTCCGCACGATCCCCAATGACGAGCATCAGGCCACGGCGATGGCGGACATCATCGAGTACTTCCGTTGGAACTGGGTGGGAACAATTGCAGCCGACGATGACTATGGCCGGCCAGGGATTGAAAAGTTTCGGGAGGAGGCGGAGGAGAGAGACATCTGCATTGATTTCAGCGAGCTCATCTCCCAGTACTCGGACGAAGAGGAGATCCAGCAGGTTGTGGAGGTTATCCAGAACTCCACGGCAAGGGTGATCGTTGTTTTCTCCAGCGGCCCAGACCTGGAGCCCCTCATCAAAGAGATCGTCAGGCGAAACATCACTGGCAAGATCTGGCTGGCAAGCGAGGCCTGGGCCAGCTCTTCCCTGATAGCCATGCCGGAGTTCTTCCGCGTCATTGGCAGCACCATTGGGTTCGCGCTGAAGGCAGGACAGATCCCGGGCTTTCGTGAGTTCCTGCAGAAGGTGCATCCCAAGAAGTCCAACAACAACGGCTTTGCCAAGGAGTTTTGGGAGGAGACGTTTAACTGCTATCTCCCCGATGGGTCCAAAAATTCTCCGGCTTCAACTTCTTTCCACAAGGGCCATGAAGATGGACTGGGAGCTGGAAACGGAACGGCTGCCTTCCGACCTCCGTGCACGGGGGATGAGAACATCACCAGCGTGGAGACACCGTACATGGACTACACGCACTTGCGGATATCCTATAACGTGTATCTGGCAGTATATTCCATCGCCCACGCCTTGCAGGATATATACACCTGTACTCCTGGGAAAGGACTCTTCACGAACGGATCCTGCGCCGACATTAAGAAGGTTGAGGCATGGCAGGTAAGTCCTTCATTTGTGTGGCCCGTGCAATGCACTTGCAGAAAAACAAACAAGCTGTCCCGGAGCCCCTAGGGTGCCTTTCACAATCCTGGGTCTCCAACACAGCATCAGGCTCCTGGGATGCAGCACATCACTGGTTGCAAGTTAGGTGCACGGTCCCACCCACGGGGAACGTAGGGTGCGTTGCGTTGGGTCTGCCCGCGGCGAAAGGGGCTCGAAATAAGTGAAATTTTCTTGCATTTGCTACGGGCCAAAAGTGCAAACACGGACAATTACCACCGCCAGGCTGACGCAGGGTAACTCGATCGTATATCGAGCCCTTACATAAACAAGAGGGCCTGGAGAGAGCACATAAACAAGAAAAACAGTTTGTAGAGTTCATTTTCTTTGGCAAGCTCTGCGTCTTTTGCAATCCCACAGCAATTTTCCATACAGGCCTGTATTTTTTTTCCACCGTTTTATGCTTATATAGGTTGAGTAATGAAGGAAGATAATGTGTGGCTGTTGGGCAAATAATAGAATCATAGAATCATAGAATGGTTAGGGTTGGAAGGGACCTCAAAGATCATCTAGTTCCAACCTCCCTGCCATGGGCAGGGACACCCTCCACTACACCAGGTTGCTCAAAGCCTCATCCAACCTGGCCTGGAACACTGCCAGGGATGGGGCAATAGATAGGGTAATAGATAGCTGCTTTGATTTGGCAGTGATATTTGTGGACTGATAAAATTATACTAATGACTTAGTCACGTTTACCCATTCATTCGATGCGTTCTGCCCACTGGCATATGGATGGTGTTCTGGCATTTTGTCTTCTGACCCTTTAGGAATACTCTATTCATTCCCATATGTTTGATGGTGCTGTCGGGTGTGATATCCAGTATGTGTTTTTAACATCTACTGCATTCTTAGATAACAGAATTAGCTTGTAAGGCTGAAGATCTGCCAAATATGTAGCAGATTCTCTTTGCCCCATTCTGGTCATCACAGAACACTGGGACCCAAACATACCTGAAATTAGAACAACACGGGTGAATGTTTGGAGGCTCACATCCCTATTTGCCTGTGCAATTTCCTCTGTTCAGGATGGTTAACCAAGACAAAGGCTATCCGTGCCTCCACCTGCAGATGTTGGGTCAGCGTTCACATGTGGGAGCTGCAGTTTGGTTCCTGTCTGGTCTCACCCAACTCAAAAAACATCAGTCAGATCAAAGTAGAAGGCTTTGTCTTGGCATTCGTGGGAAACCTGCATTGCTCTAGGTGTCTGATTTGGGTTTACTGAAACCCTTTATTCTTCGTTAATGGTTTAGGGGAATCCTGTGACTGCTGGTCCTCTCTGAGGTTTCTGTCTTTCAAAGCTATTCTGTTTTTCAGGAGCCCACTGGCAAAAATGGCCAAGTCACAGACAGATTTAGCTTTCACTGTGTCGGTAAAAATGACCCAGAATAAATCTATTTTTTAATTCCTTCCTTTATGCCTTCTCAACTTGGAAAGTAAAGCAGGGTATTCATACCGTAGCGAAGTAAAATAATGTGGTGTTTGTTGAGGATTCCACAATCTTGAAGAACATCCTCTCATTTCTCTGCTGCTTGTCTGGTGCTGCAGGATGGCTGTATCAAAACATAAAGCATCCTGCTGGTCTATAGGCTTTGGGATATGCATATATGCCTTAAAAGAGGGAACCAGCATCAAGAAGGAGCATGTGGGGGATAACACGACTGGCTAGGAACAGCAGGTGCTGCGAAGGAACAGGCTATATTTGAAACGACCACGATTACGTGGTGTTGGCATCAAGCATATTTGATATTTGTGCGTTTTCTCACTTTTATTTCAAAATCAAACACGTGACTTGCAGGTCAATGCCAGATATGTGTGCACACCTACTTCATATCAGGCATTGCGGCTCATTACCCTCGGGAAGCTTTGCCCAGGGGTAATGAGTTCCTCCCCAACGGGCATCCTCCAGCATCTCCGGAGGGTGGTTTTCTGACAACCAGGCAGAAGAAAACCTTTCTACTAAAAAACCAACCTCGTTTGCCGTGGTACTTGTGCCGGCGGGCAGTGCCCGCTCCCTTTTCTCACGATCAGCTCCAGGGTTTCTTGGTGGGAAGTGACCTGGGAGAGGGAAGAGGCTGGTGGGAAGGCTCCGTGCCTGGGACCGGAGGTGGCAGCTGCTAATAGTGTCTGCAATCACCGACCAGGTGGCGTGGGGGACAGATAAGACAAACCCAGTGAACTCGTGGCTCCATTAGCCTGAGCTCCTGCCCGGAGCAGCCCTCGCCAGCGGGGTCGATGGCTGGGGAGGGATAATGGGGCATTCCACGATTTGATTAGGTACCGTTTCGTTTTCAACGATGTTCTCCCATTAACACGTATTATTTACTCGTTGTCTGCTAATTGTTAGTTTTATGTACTCAGAATAGAAAGCTTTTTGGAGGAACTGGTTTATGGAGTTTGTGGAGGGTGCTTGTGTGGGTCTGTATATAAAAATAGCATTTTGCCTCAGTGATCAGTTCATTTGGACTGGGCGGCAGGAAGCCTAGCACGGAATTACTGTGAGTTGGCTAAACTGGGTGCAATTCTCCTACTAAGAATTTACTCTTTAAGAAAGCTCTGAGTATGTTTCTGCATGGTGAGCACAGGATTTTCCTGTGTCTCCCAAGATGAAATATCAAATACTAACAACTTTATTCTCTACCTATCTATATCTACTTGTTCAAGCAGCTGCTTACTCACTTTCTCCACCTGAATCGACAGACCCTGTTCATAAACCCAGTCTTGAATCATAGAATCACAGAAGGGTTTGGGTTGGAAGGGATCTCAAAGACCATCCAGTTCCAACCCCCCTGCCATGGTAAGGGACACCCTTCATTACACCAGGTTGCTCAAAGCCTCATCCAACCTGGCCTTGAACACTTCCAGGGATGGGGCATCCACAGCTTCTCTGGGCAACCTGTGCCAGTGCCTCACCACCCTCAGAGGGAAAAATTTCTCCCTTATATCCAATCTAAATCTCCCCTCTTTCAGTTTAAAGCCATTATCCTTGTCCTGTCACTACATGCCCTTGTCAAAAGTCCCTCTCCAGCTTTCCTGTAGGCCCTCCCTTGCTTCCTTTTCTTTTCCTGATGCCTCTGAAGCTGGCAGCGGGCACCTCCACTGGAGATGGAACTGGTCAGCCCGAACTTGCCGGCCGCCGCAGCGCGTGCGGAGACGCGGGCACAGGCAGGGCATCTTCCTGGCAGGAGCTGGGCCACTCACTCCACGCATGGAGCTGCCCGTGGAGTTGAGAGTCCTCTTTCTGAAAATGGGAAAAAAATGGTACTTCTATACTCTACAGAAAATTACGGACTTTAATGGGACGTCTGTGCTGCCCTTATTCTGAGCAACGTATATGCCTGCAGCTGTCATGGTTTAAGAACCTGCCCCGCTGCAAGGCAGAAGATAATCCAGGGGCACACCTCTGCGAGATGCCTGCCAAGAGCAGATGAGTATTCCCTGCACGTGCCGTTGTTGTGTCCGGCACAATATTGATGAAGATCAGATTAATTACTTCTTTTCGCGGTGTTTTGTTCAGGTAACAAGAAGGTGCAGGGCAATCCAGAACCAAATGTACGAGCAATTTCTGCCACATGTGGAAAAGGTAAAATTGTAAACAAAGCACCAAGGATTAAGGCACATGACTGCAAAGGGCACAGAAGAAGGAATCCTCTTGGAGGACTCAAGGAGACGTTCAAGGCCAGGTTGGATGAGGCCCTGAGCAACCTGATCTAGTTGGAGATATCCCTGTTCCTTGCAGGGGGGTTGGACTAGATGACCTTTGAAGGTCCCTTCCAGCCCTAACGATTCTATGATTCTATGACTCTGTCACCTCTGATAAGCAGACACTCATTCTCTTTCCTTAGTGGGCTGGGATTTTTTTAGGAGACTGTACTGAGTAGGGCTAATTCTGTGTGTTGCTGTGGTTCATGGACTGGCTTCCTCCCAATAAAGGCTCTCCCAAGAGCTATGGAATAGCAGTGGGAAGCAATGGGAAGGCAGGGCAAAGGTGGGACGCAGGCTCAGGACTCCTGTACTGCTGCTGCCTTTGTCAAAATTCCCTGTGTCTGTGGCCTGTTTCCCCACAGCAGCTCAACCAGTCTGATTTGAAGCTCTTTTTTCTTAGTATCTTCCTTGATAAGAGTTCCCAGGTCCCTCAAGTTCCTTCATTTTCTTGCTCTCTGCTCACGTGGCTATTCCCACGCTCACTCATAACAACAAGTCCATCTCTTCTTTTTTCAATTCCAAGATTTCTAACCCTTTGGGGCATTTACAGGAGCCTCTCTGGTGTCTCTCTCGTTTCAAACACTGGCTGGTCCTGCAGAAAATAAGAGGAAAACAAGTGAGGGATCCTAATCTGTCCTTCAGAGCAAATATTTGTTACTTCATCTTCTTTCTGTGTGAGAAGTGGGAAAAACCTGTCTTCACCTCAGACGTAGGTGTTCCTGTGTTTCTGCCCACTTGTCTGGCTTCTTGATGGTTGCCACAAGCCACTGATGCACCTCTCACAGTAAAAGCATTATGATTAAACAGGGAAGACAGGCTCCCCTGGATTTGAGATGGCCAAGGGGAGCAGCCACAGTGTGGAGCATCCTTAGGTGGACTCCCAGACCATTTGCAGGTTGTGGTTACACTGGGGGCTGTGAACTTTCGCAGGTTCACAAGTGAAAAACGAGGTAGTTCTTCGAGGCACGGAGACAAAGCATGCTGCACGGGCTGAAAGATGTGCTGTCCTCATGATTAGCAGCTTAAAGGTGACTCATGTAAATTATTCTACGCCTAGAAATCTGATTGACCTCAGACTTAGTGAGAGCTGCCATATGCCATTCCACAAAACGAAAGCAAATACAAATTGGCTTCACCTAGCAACGCCTCAAGTCTTTTATTATTACACCTGTCCACCTACCAGCCACCAGTTCCTTCCTCTGTGCTGGTGAAACGTGTTATGGAGAGGTAAAAATGGA